TGTAAACGTGCGAAAGGATGGTACTCCCACATGTGGTGGGAATGCCCTGAGGTTACAAAATTATGGAAAATTATACTAAGAGTGATAAATGAGCTTTTTAAGGTAAAGCTGAATATAGATTTTGATCTGATGACAATGAGCACTCTAGGTAATGAGACAATAGAGAAAAAAACCAAGACTTATTGAAAGCAATGATATTAGCCAGCAAAGCAGTGACAGCATTAGGGTGGAAAGATAAAAGTAAATGGACAGAAAGAGCTTGGCATAATTATCTGTTTGATTTTGTCCAGTCAGATATAATGACTACAATGGCCCAGGATCTACCATGGGAAGACAGAACATCGAGGATCAAGGAAAAATGGTCTCTCTACCTGAACTGGATAAAAGAAGAACAGAAAGAAGACGTTCAGTGGAAGCTACAGGCCCTGTGTCCCTGGCTGAAAGTTAAAGACTAGACTGAGGGGGGAGGGAATAGGGAGAAAATGTTAAAATTACCAAAAAAGGAACAATGGAAATACGATATTGTATACTTTAAATAGCAAATAAAAATAACTATTAAAAAAAAGATGAGGCTGTTAAAGTGCTGCACTCAATATGCCAGGAAATTTGGAAAACACAACAGTGGCCACAGGATTGGAAAAGGTCAGTTTACATTCCAATCCCAAAGAAGGGCAATGCCAAGGAATGTTCAAACTATCTGACAATTGCACTCATTTCACACACTAGCAAGGTCATGCTTAAGATCCTACAAGCTAAGCTTCAGCAGTACATGGATAGAGAACTGCCAGAAGTACAAGCTGGGTTTCGAAGAGGTAGAGGAACTGGAGATCAAATTGCCAACATTCGCTGGATTATGGAGAAAGCAAGGGAATACCAGAAAACCATCTACTTCTGCTTCATTGACTACGCTAAAGCCTTTGATTGTGTGGATCACAACAAACTATGGAAAGTCCTTAAAGAGATGGGAATACCAGACCACCTCACATGTCTCTTGAGAAACCTGTATAAGGGTCAAGAAGCGACAGTCAGAACCAGATATGGAACAACTGATTTGGTTTAGCATAGGAAAAGGAGAACGACAAGAATGTATATTGTCATCTTGCTCATTTAATTTATATGCAGAGTACATCATACAAAATGCCGGCCTGGATGAATCACAAGCCGGAATTAAGATTGCTGGGAAAAAGAACAACAACTTCAAATACGCAGACGATACCACTCTAATGGCAGAAAGTGAAGAGGACCTCAAGAGCCTATTGCTAAGGGTGAAAGAGGAGAGTGCAAAAGTTGGCTTGAAACTCAACATCAAAACCCCCCCGAAGAACATGACATCCGGCCCCATCACTCCTTGGCAAATAGAAGGGAAAGTCATGGAAGCACAGACTTCACGTTCCTGGGATCCAAGATCACTGCAGATGGTGACTGCAGCCATGAAATTAAAAGATGCCTGCTCCTTGGGAGGAAAGCGATGGCAAACCTAGACAGCATAATAAAATGTAGAGACATCACCTTGCCAACAAAAGTCCATATGGTCAAAGCAATGGTATTCCCAGTAGTCATGTATGGCTGCAAGAGTTGGACTATAAGGAAGGCCGAGCACCGAAGAATAGATTCTTTTGAATTATGGTGTTGGAGAAGACTCTTGAGAGTCCCTTGGACTGCAAGGAGATCGAATGAGTCAATCCTAAAAGAAATTAACCCTGACTCTTCCCTGGAAGGCCAGATACTGAAGCTGAAATACTTTGGCCACCAAATGAGAAGGGAGCACTCATTGGAGAAGGCCCTGATGCTGGGAAAGACTGAAGGAAAAAGAAGAAGGGGACAGCAAAGGATGTAAACAGTGTTATCGATATAATGAACATGAAATTAAGCAAACTCTGAAGCACAACAGAAGACAGGAGGGCCTGGCGTGATGTGGTCCATGGGGTCACGAAGAGTCAGACTCGACTGTGCGACTGAACAACAAGGAAACGGGAACATGGTATATAAGGAGTTTGAAATTGTTTACTAAAGTTGTTGTAGTAAAATGATTGTGTGTACTGATACTGAAAATAAAATTAAAAGACTACATAATCTGGACCTTGAGCACTTGAAGGAATGGCTACTCCCATATATCTCACCTCATGCTGTAAGCTGTTCTAAGGGTGACCTCCTACAACTGTCCCTGGCATTTGAAGCATCGTAGGTGACTGTTAAGAGTTACAGCCAGCCTTTTCAGGGATGTGGCACTCAGTAACATGATGAATCTAAGCCAATTTGGTGACCTCTGACTGAGACTGTTGGCTTTGATAATTCTCACCTTGTGAAGAATACAGTGAGCTGAGTTATTGTTATTTTCATTCTTTGATGACACCAAGGAGCCTTTTTGTTTTGACTTGCAGGTCTCCATTGAGAACTATGGCTAGAAGGGTCTGCTTGTTAGGAAATGTCATTGGAAAGGGTTCTTAAATGAAGATTGTATAGGAAGTGGGATCTGAATAGGGAGAGCCCTATTGGAGGGAAAACAGATAATGAAAAGGAGGTTCTTGGCTACTGCACTCTTTTCTTTGTATATAGATCACATGAAGCTGCCTTCTACTGAATCAGACCCTTGGTCCATCAAGGTCAGTATTGTCTACTCAGACCAGCAGTGGTCCTCCAGGGTCTCAGGCTGAGGTCTTTCACATCACCTCTTACCTGATCCTGTTAATTGGAGATGCCGGGGGTTGAACTTGGGACCTTCTGCATGCCAAGCAGATACTCTGCCAGTGAGCCACAACCCATCCCCTCCCATTCTTGTAATCCAGTATTTTAAACATAGGCACCCAAACTTTTTATGTCAGAAGTTAGAACAAACATTCTTACAGGAATGGTTTCTCTTGCTAGCAGTTTATGCAGGAATTGTCAAGATAGCTGAGCCTCCCCCATCCAAGAAAGTTGCTTCTAGCAACACTGCCTCCCAGGAGACAGATGAAGATGGGTAGCTATTTAAGTTTGTCTGTAGCAGTACTCTTTTCTACTGCCTCTCAGGAAGAGAAACAGGCAACAACACTTTGCCAAACACCTAGTTTACTTGGCCTCCTTTGTGCTGGCATTCTGGAAATGAAATAACCCAGGTTCAGATCCCCATTCTGCAAGGAAGCTCACTGGGAGACTTTGGGCTCATTACTCTCTCTCAGCATATCATACAAGGTTTTATGAGGGTAAAGTGTAGGAGGGAAGACCAATGAATGCCACTCTGAGGAATTTGGAGGAGGACCAAAAACAAATCCCCCAACCCTAAATGAATAATACCAGATGGGTAGCAGAGTTAGTCCATAGCAGCAAAATAAAACAGGAGTCCCCTAGCACTTTAAAGCTTATGCTGGAATAAATCTTGTTACAGTATTTATTCCATCATAAGCTTTAAAGCATGATTGTTTTCAGGCAGGTATATTTAAATATAAGCTGCAGACATTTCAGTTCTATCCCAACTATGTTGTCAATGATGGATTTGTTTTTTGTTTTTTAAAAAAATTGTACTACTTTTAAATATGTTGGTATTGTTGTAAGCTCCTTGGCCAGTTATACGAATCAGTAGTCCATACATTTTATAAAGGAAAATAAAACTTTAAAAGCTTTTGAAAAGAGAAAATGTGCACAAATTTGGGTAGCGTGGGGTAGCTGGTCAACAACATGAACCCACTATGGAGATCTTTCTTTGTGCTCATTCCATTATAATTTCAACTGTTCGTACAAAAAAACCCAAAACCTATCTAGCACCCTGACAAAGGATTGGGGCTTGTATGCCAAGAAAATCCAATATACCTCATCACAGAAGAAGCAAAATGTTTGCAGAAACAACTGCTCAGTATACATAAACGTATACGTTTACATAAGTTTAATAAAATATAAGAATCAATCATTATTATTCCGCACCCAACAGATTGTTGCAAGGTTTTTTTTTAACAGACAGTGACCAGTGACATTTTAACACTCCCGCGGCCACCACCGGTTTTGGAAATGTGTTTCTTTTCATCACAGCGAGCCGGCGAAACCGTTATCTGGATATGCTCCGTTCGTCTTCAGTAGACATTGCAACAACACCCGTCGTTTGGAAATTCCTGGGGAGCCCGATTTTATCCATGTTTACTCAGAAGTAAGACGACGTGGACTGCACAGCCCGATCTTAGGCATGTTTGATCGCAAGGAAGGCTCACTTAGTCAGTGAACTTACTTTCAGAGAAGCGTACAAGGAATCGCAGCTTTAATGATCCCGGAATACACTGCCTAGGAACATCTCGACTCGGATTTCGCGCCCGCGGAGAGGTTCCGAGACAGGAGTCCTTCTATTTCCTTTTCCTTTTTCTACTGCTCTTGAAGCCTCTCCATCCGCGTCCTCCACCAGGGCTTGTCTCTCCAGGAACTGAAGAAGCGGTTTATGCCAGCACGTGTGGCTTTGCTGCTGGACCCCTGGGAGGCAAACGGGTAAGAGGGCCGGAGGAAAGTGTGTGGGGCTAGAAACAGGCGTCCGTTGCGGCTGTCAAAATTAGTACAGGTTTGAAGCCTCGTATGCCTTTAAGCCTGCAATGTTCAACATCTTTCCTAGGGCTCAAAGCTCTCTTTTAACTCGATGGGAAAGCCTGTTTAGGACTGTACCGCGCGTGTTGCTTAGAAGGTGATAGTTGCGCGGGGAGGAAGGGGGGGGGGGTAAGGCTGCAGTGTGGTGGAAGAAGCTGCAGTTGCAGGATTTTTTCTTTGCACTCAGCATTTAAATGCACCAAAGAGTCTGTCTTGTAGCTCTGTTTCCTTGGGTATATCCCGCGTTTCAAGGTGTAGGAGCCGTCTGCAGGCCTCGTTTTTTGCTTTGGTTTGGTTCCAGTCTTTTCCTGCCTCGGGTTACTGGAGGGCGAGGACCCGCGGGTGTGTGCGCGCGCGCTTGTTTTTTTCCCATTGAGAAGGTAGGAAGAGCTGCGTATAGCAGCTATGCAGAGCTTTTAGAGGGACCGCCTGAAAAACCGCAGGCAACTTGGAACAGGGCACTCTGCCCTCGGGTAACAATTGGGACGATGCGATGTTATATAACGGAGCTGCACTTAAGGCCCTAAGAAACGCGTACTAATAAAAGGTGTAACTTCACTATCGAAGTTTTTGGTCTGGCATGACCAGAATATTCTGAGATCTGTTCCGAGCACTATTGCAGTTAGCCAAACCCTACTTGGAATGATCTCTGAAGATGCAAAGTGCGAAAGATCCTGCCGTGGGCTAGTTATCACTTTGTGGCGTTCTCTGAAGATGCAAAGTGTGAAAGATCCGGCCGTGGGCTAGTTATCACTTTGGGTATCTGATTCCACCCACCCCCGCTTTAAGTAAGTGTCAGTCTGATAGCAGCAGCCTGCTTATCTAGGGTAAATGTAAAACTATGGAAACTTGGGAAATGGGTGGGAAGTTATTGAATGTTTCTGAGAAAAGACAGAAATTAGGTTAACAAGGTCCTGCCTAATGAGTCAGCCTGTTGGTCTATCAGGGTAAGTATTGTCTGCTCTGGTGGGCAACAGCTTGCCAAAGTCTTACCTAGAGATCTTCCACATCACCTGTTCTCTGATTCTTTTATGATGGAGATGCCAGTGTCTGAACCTGGGACCTTTGGCCACTTTCAGGGCCTTGATATGGCATGTTGCATGATCAGATGAGGCAATGGCATTGGATTCCAGGTTCTCAGTTTGTGGGCTTCCCTCTGCTTGCCGTGCTTTATAACTTCATGCTGACCACAGCAGGGTTCTGCTGGTTGATCCTGATTTTGCTTCTTCATAACACTTGCTATGCTGACCTCCCTGGCAAAATCTGTTTTCAGTGTGAATGTGCGTTAGTGTCTTCTATTACTCGTAGCGGTACAATGAATTAGCTGAAAACAGAGGAGCTGAAAAAGGTTCAAGAGAAATAAGATATCAGATGCCGCTCCCAGCACTGTCACTCCTACAGCAATGTCAAGTGATTTCTCCACAATGGACTGCAGTTTTATAATTGCGTTTGCATTTATTCTTTTGTTGCAGTGTCCAATTTCGTTTGTAATTATGGAGCAGAACACCTCTCGGTTTCAGTCTGAACTTGATTTCTGCCCTGAGTGTGGCACAGTCCTGCCTTTGCCTGGGGTCCAAGATACGGTGACGTGCCTCTGTTGTTCCTTCTCCATTGACATAAAGGGTGAGTGCGTTAGGATTTTTCCAGACTATTTGGTTGAGATCCTAGGCAGACGGGGACTACAGTCAGGGCACCACTTCCTTCTGCCCACTTCAGCTCCTCCCACCATTAAATGTTTGTAACCAATGGGGTAGTCCCTGGATTGTTTCAGACATAGACCAAGTCTTGGGCATGGTTATTTATTTTATATATTGATATCCCCACTTTTCTCCCTGTGGGGACCCAGGGTGACTTAACAGCAGTTTTTTCTCCTCCCTCCATTTTATTCTCACAACAACAATCCTGTTGGATAGATTGGGCTGAGAGAGATCAACTAGCCCAAGTTCACCCAGTAGCCTTCCGTGGCAGAGTGAGGATCTGAACAAGATCTTACTCTGAAATCCTATACCACAGTGGCGCAGGGGCATTATTCTGCTGAGGAAGCTCTAGGAAGCATGGAATGTTGAGAGCAGTTTAGCATCCAATAAGGGTATGGGGAGGGGGGAGGGAATAGAGAGAGATAAAGAAGTTGGCCTGCCCAAGTCCACGAGAGCTGGAGGACAAGATCAGGTGAAATTGCAGTGCTCTGTTCCCCTCCATTTTCGTTCAGGTCCCAACTTGCAAAGAACATTTAGTGGAGGAGCAGGACTTAGGTGCCTGAATGTATGGGTCCTGTTCTTTATTAGCTTTAATGTTTTGTTGTTGGACAGAATTTGAAGGGAGAGAGATCCACACATCCATCACATTCAGTACAATAGATGCCACATCTGAGAGGAAAATAGATGAGGCAAAAGAGATCAAAGGACCCTTGGTGAGTACTGGGGGAAGTTAAAAGGAGTGACCATCTTGCTGTGGTGTCATCTAATTTAGGTCTTTTCCCCTTTCCCTGCCTATAGACTTAACCTGTAGTTGCTGAGTACTGTGGCATAAGGTAGTATCTTATACTGAAAGGTGAATCTGTTTGGGCTGTAGATGCAAGTTTTAAAAATAGAGATTTGAGATATTCACAATCCAATTCATGGAGTTAGGATTCTGCATGTGACTCTTGGGTCCACTTCTCCACTTGCACCTGCTGATGTGACCTTGGGTCAGTCACAAGCTCTGGCACAGCTGTTCTTGAAAAAAGAGCAGTTTCTGTCAGAGTTCTCTCAGCCCCACCTACCTCACAGGGTGTCTGTTGTGGGGAGGGGAAGGGAAAGGAGTTTGTAAGCCGCTCTGAGACACCTTTGGGTAGTGAAGGGTGGGGTATAAATCCAGTCTCCTCCTCCTCCTCCTCTTCCTAGAACAATCCTGCTTGATCAGACCAGCGATCTATCTACTCCAGCATCCTGTCTCACACAGTGGCCAACCAGTTCTGCAGGAGGGCCAAGAACAGGGCATGGAGGTCGAGGCCTTCCCCTGATGTTGCCTCCCAACACTGGGGTTCAGAGGTTTAGTGCCTCCGAATGTAGAGATTCCTTTTAGTCACCATGGCTAGTAGGCACTGGTAGGCCTATCCTCCATGAATCTATCCAATCCCCTTTTAAAGCTGTCTGTGCCTGTGGCCATCACTACATCCACTGGCAGTGAATTCAGTATTTTAATCACTGTCTGTGTAAAGAAATATTTCCTTTTGCCCATTCTGAATCTGTTGCCCATCAGCTTCATTGGAGGCCCTTGAGTTCTAGTATTTTTGGGAGAGGGAAAAATTCTCTTTGTCCACTCTCTCTCCACCCCATACATAATTTTATAAACCTCTATCATGTTCCCCCTGAGCTGTCTCTTTTTTAAACTGAAAAGTCCCAGATTCTTCAGCCTTTCGTCATAGGAAGGTGATTTTTGTTTGTTTGTTCCCAAAGGCAGGATTTGGTTCTTGAACTTTGAGGGTTCCAAACTTGTAGAATCCTAAGTATATACATATTCAGTGGAGGCAGAGTTTGTTAGAATCTGTTTTGGCACTGTTTTCCTCATGGGGAGAAGCAAAACCCCAAGGGTAGAAATTATTGTCAGAGCTCACAAGAGACTTATGGCAGCATGTGGCAAAATGAAATCTTATCTATTCTTTAGTTTTGAGCTGGTCTTTAACCATAATAAATCATTCATCTATCTATCTATCCCATGTTTATTCCATCCTTCAAGGGGTTTATGAGTTTCATATTTATTCTCACAAAACCCCCATGAGGTAAGAGAGGCTGAGAGAATGACTGGCCTAAGATTTATGGGCTGTCGGCAGCAAAAACTGAACTGGGAACATGTACCTCCACCAAGCCACAAAACTGGGTTATCATGGCTTGATTCCTCTGCATTTTTAGCACTGTACCTAGAAAGTGGAGGGGGAGAATGGCACAGCTTTTGTGTTGCCTGGCAACCACACCCTCAGGTGTTCTTAGACTTCCTGAGGCTTCCTGCCACTCGAAAGAGCTTTAACTCCACTGTTGCCTAGCAACTACCAGCACAGAAAATTGGAGCCCCACCATGGTGCCTTCATTTTGTTCTGTGACCTAGCATTGTTACTATCAACCCAGAATGCCAACATTAGGCTCTGTCACTTTATTAGATCCTTTTAAGGTCCCCACAGCACCACCTTTTACATTCCACACAGATCACTCTCAGAGCCAGAAGCTGTAAACGGGAGCTGGCACTCCTACTCGCAAGGAGGTTGAGTGTTGATAGGGCCATTGAAGTCATCCCGTGTGCTCGTGGCAGATTTGCAGTAAAGTCCATGTCCTTTGCATTGCCGAGATGAGGACGGTGATGGTACCAAGAAGTGGGCTTTGGTACTAGGTCCTCCCCTCCCCCTGCTGTGTTTCCCTACCTGCAAAACACAGTTGCACTGGTGGTGGTGGTGGTGGTGATCAGGAAGAGAAACTAGGCAACCAGATGTATTGGTGTGAAATTAACTTCTTCCTGAAAAACTGTGGGTGCTGCTCGCAGGTCTCTCCTCAGATGAGTTAGATTCTCAACTCATTTGGGTCTGCAGGAGGCCTGCCCCATCCCTGTAGACAAGTGGAATTGCTGCTAGAAATGGAAACCCCCCCCCCCCCCGTTTCTAATTTGGCTCAGCAGCTGGGCAATCTCATCATCATTGGCGGGACAGAGCCAACACTTGCTTTCCACTTTCATTGTATCCAGATGCCACAATAAACTTAAGACGGAATCTCCCAGCCCCCCCCCCCTTACAGTGCTCTTAACTGCTCCAGCCTCGGTGCCCAAACTCAACCATCTTTTCCTCTCCCCCACCCCCGTACTGGAAGTCCTGCCCCTCCAGTCTTCCCTGCAGCTGGGCAATCTACTACACCAGCATTTGTTTCAAGTCACTGTAGGGCTGCAGAAAAGGGATTCCCCTTTGTTTAACTTTGCCCTTTTCAGCTTGACAGGAACTGTCCCCAGTGTGGGCATGAAGGCATGGTGTACCACACCCGGCAGATGAGGTCAGCAGACGAAGGACAGACGGTCTTCTACACCTGCCCCCGTTGCAAGTAAGGAAATGCCCCAACTAACAGTTGCTCCATACGTTGCTACTCTAACATCCTGTTCACCTTGGTTTTCTCTGCTGAATTGTTACCTTTATGTGCAACTGAAATCCTGGCCATTAAGGAACGTGCACTGCTCTTCTCTCCCTTTTTTGTCCTCTTTTAAGTGGGATGTGCCCAGTGGCTCCTGAGGTTCAGCCCAGGCAGGGAGAAAGTGAGGCTGCGTAGCTGTGTCTTGAAACGGGAACAGGTTCGGGGGAAGCTTTGCTTTCTTCTGCCTTTCTTGCTGTACTGACTCTCATGCCTGATTCCAGAATGAAAGCCCACTCCTCTCCTCTCCTGTGCCTTTAGCAAGCTGCCACTGTGCAGAGCACCACTGTGGGAAAGGGGAAATCAACTTCCAGCCAGGACTTTGCCAAGTCGTCCCCCCCCCCCGAGACCTGAAAATGGTCCCTTTTTCTCCAAACACAATCCTGCAGATTTTACAGGTTTGACAACAAATACAGTAAGTGTACTTCCACAGTGAACTCACTGCTGAAGGGTTTTATATCTGTACTTTGCCTTGGTTACACTTCATCTTCCCATGTTTGTTTAAGAAGTTTGAAGCTGAATCTGTGCATTCAAATGTTTTAAGCAACTGCAGGAGCAGGAAGAAATCCAACTGTTTTTGTACTTCCTGTCCCCTTCCACTTCTGAAAAATGCAGTCACTGTCAGAATTTCATGAGAGAAAAGTAAGATTCTGGCTCTTATCCAGAGTTCCATGTGGGTGCACACATCTCTGTCACAGCCAGACAGGTTTCTTTTCTGATACTGTTTGTCAAGAGATAATCAGCAATATTATTAAGGCTAGGAAATATTAAGCCTCTGGAAACGGTCATTAATTGTCTGGTCTTCTGTGTCCCACCTGTTTTCTTAATAGATTCCATGGGCTTGATATCTACCATTAGCACATTCCATGACTGGCACAATTTATTGTTTTTTGTTGGTTTTTAATTATTACTATTTTTAACTTCCAGATTTCAGGAGAAGGAAGATTCTTGATCGGACAGCATCAATGTTCATTTGGGCAAATCTGAACAAGCTCTCCCTTCTTGATTTAGAATCTCTCCAGACTATGCAGCACTTATGGGTGCTGTGGGAACATCCTCTTGCATCAGCTAGATGATTCATGAATGGTGATTTTTGTCCCGCAGCAGGCCAGACTGGTGGCCCAGCATAGAAGGGCTGAGAAGGGAACTGCATGGTAAAAGTCTTACAAGGAGTCCGAATTCTTCCTTTCCCCAGTTCCTTTCCTCTGGTCTTTGCATACGAACAGATGGGATTTCCCAGTGCAGAAGACTAGAACTTCTGTCTAACGACAACACCCTACTTGAGCCAAACCAAAAGCTGAGCACCAAGAACGTGTGCTGCTCTTGCAGATCCTACCATTACTGCTACTACCACTGTGGTAACCAATCTCATGGTATCTTTTGTGTTATTTCCTGCCTTCACTGATGGAAACTTCTGACACACTTGTGCAAGCGTGCATGTTGGTGGTCATCCTGTAACCTGATCCATTCTGGTTTGAGGCTTGTTCCAAGAAGGTAGTAGAACCACACAGCTGCTTGCATAGCAGCCACTCACACATTCCCCTTTTTTAGCCGTTATCCTGCCGCAAGGTGAAGATTAATTCACACTCCTCCATCCACTGTTCCCCTGTGGGGCTGTAGTTGCAGTTCAGCCAGGGAGGAAGGGCTCACTGGTAGCCTTTATGGGCCAACCTTGGTTCTCTGGAAATAGGCCTTGATGCGCAGAGGATTACAAAGAGCTGTTTGCAGTGACCTGCAGTAACCATGGTTCTGTAGTGACATGTACCCTCCAACTGCAGTCAGTTGTGTTTCCCAAGGTATATGTGTCTCTTCCATTTTTATCTTCACAGAAACATTAGGAGGTGGGCTAAGTTGAGAGCGATTGTGATTAAGCTGATTTCAAAGGTCTAAATTAAACACAAAGAATGAGAGATTGGTGACTAACACTGATCTTTTAGCCTTACTCTAAAATTGGGCAGTTTCAAATTGTAGAAATGATGCGGCAGATTCCCAGTGCCAGCTGCTATTTTCCATGCAGACAACCTAGTCAAATTCACCGTATTTAAAAGTGATAAAAATCTTAGGTGATGCATTTCAGAAATGTCAGCTCCCATGTTTAGAGTGCAGCCTAAGCACAGCTACACAGAAACCTACTCTGGTCTATTCAGCAGGGCTTACTCTCCAGAAAGTATTTTTGGGATTCTATGAAGAAGGAAGGATTTGAAACCTGTGGGACTGGCCTTTTGATTTGTTAAAAAGGTTTGGCTACTTGATCAAATTACTGACAAGTGTTTGTAAAGAAATAACTTTATTAGTCTAACAAAATGTAAATTACAAAAACAAACTAGGTAACTCTTTTTATGAAATAATTCATTTTTTTAAAATGTAATTGATTATTTAATGTCTTTGGTTTTTATCCTGGCATATATGTGAGGGGGGTCTGCATGATGGAGATAGGGCTACTCCTTCCACTTTTGCCCCCGATGACCATTTACATTCCTGTGGTGCCTGCACTTACAACAGTTGGACAGTAGGAGAAGCTGTGCTGCTTGGTTTGCTGCTACCAAGCTAAGTGGCATGTGCCAAGTGGTGCTGACAAATGTCACAAAAGAAACTGCCACTTAATACTGTTATGTTCTTGGCTTCACATAATATTTAACCACTTTTGACTGGTATGCCAATAACTTAAAAAGTTATCCTTCAAGCTGTCATCAAGATAGAAATGTAAGGACAAATACTAATATTCTACATGATTGCCAGCCTCCAGGTGGGGATTGGAGTTCTGGTATTATAGCTGATCTCCAGGTGACAGAGCAGTTTCCCTGGAGAAAATAGCAGATTTGGAGGGTGGAATCTATGGCATTGCATCCTTCTAAGCTTCTTCCTCAGGCTCCACCTTCAAATTTCCAGGAATTTCTCAACCCACAGTTGGTCACCCCAACATGATTTCACTCTGGCAGTTGAGCTACTGAAGAAGCAACTACCTCTCCCACCCCCGCCAAGTTCACCACGACCACCTTCGTGGCACCCCCCCCCCCCCCAAAAAAAGTTATGTGTAAAAAAAAGTTGGCAATGGAATCTGTACTTTTTTTCAAAGCATTTCTCTGCTTCAACCAGCTCTAGCTGTACCATGCATCATTTGTACCTGATAAAGATTTAGAATATTTGCATTGTTCTGCGGGCCGGTGAGAACCTCTTATACCTCTACATACTTCTGTGTGTCTGTCTGTCATCGCGCAGTAAAGGACTACTTTCCCTCCCATAGTTGAACTTGGAGAACTATTCCAAAACGGGCAGCTTCTTGCGCAAACGTCTTTCCGCGTACGGCAGAAATGACTGGGATCCAGGCGGGGGACACTTTAATGTGAGGGACACGCACCGGAAATAGGAATAAACGGCACCGGAAGTAGGCTTGAGTAGAGCATTGCACAGGCAGGGGAAGAAGCAGGAAGGGAGGCGACGGTAGGTGCGGCTGAAGGGCTTCCGATAAGATTCCCTGAGGCCGGGGCGGACTTGGATGAGCTCCGTGTCGGAGCTCTCCGAATAGCCCTCCCTCCTGCCACCGGCGCCACGGCGAGCGGGGCCTCGAACATGGCAGAGTCAACAGCCAGCGTGGGAGCCACAGCGACTGTCACCGAGACCGAGGTGATCGAGCCGGTGAGATATTGGTTGGGGGGGGGGGGCGCCGCGAAGGTGTTCGTGGTGAACTTGGTGGGGGGGAGGGGTACGGGGATCGCCATGGCAACCGGGAGGATGCAGGAGCCATGGCAACGCCGGTGGCTGCGGACCGATCTGCCACGGTTGTCGAGGCAACCTCGGAGTGTTTCGGAGGACCTCGGAAAGGACCCTGTGCTGCCATAGCGACCACTCCGGTCACCGTTTTTGGCTACGGGGTGGTGATGGACCCGTTCACTTGCAGCTGCCGTTTGCTTGCCACCAACTCTCTCATTCTGGACGCTTCTGATGCGTTTAATGTGCGCAGTTTTTATGTTATTGGTCCCAGGGTATGATCTGAAAGCACGTGATGCAGCCACCTCGCTGATGCTAGGCAGGTATGGGTCTGGTCGCCTACAGGACAGGAGATCTTTTAGTCATCCAGTCTTTATGTTGGCTGCCTTGAATTTTGTGGTGGGGAGGAGGAGAAATCTCATTTCCCCACCATCTCAGGATGGTATGTGTGGGGTCTCCAGATGCTGGCCAGCCCCATTTATTCCTGCTTCACCATGAGTGTTTTCAGAGCTTGCTTGCTTTTTTCTCCAAAACAACACTAACTAATAAGTAAGTTGGCTCGGCTGGAAAGATGGCTGCAGAGTTTAGGTGTGGTGCTGTGGCTAGAATGTCAGATGATCTGGGAGACCCAGGTTTGAATCTTCCCTCTACCGTGGAATCTTATTGGGTGACCATGGACCAGTCACTCTATCTCAGCCTAACCCACCTCACAGGGCGGCTGTTGTGAGGATGCAGTGGAGGAAGAGAGAACAGTGTTATAAGCTGGTTTGGGTTCTGTTGGGGAGAAAACCAGGATAAATATCTAAATGAATACAATTAAGAAGTGGAGCATCTAGGAGTCCGGTGAATTTCAAAGTGAAGGGGAAGAGTCATACATGTCACAAGCTACTAGGAGAGGTTTAGGTTGGTGGATCTGGTCAATGGCCCATTTACTGCATGTCAAGGAGGCCAGCCTCAGGATTTTGACAAGGTTCTGTAAATATAGAAATGTCTGAGGCAAGTACAAATTGCTGGAATATTAGAGCACCATATAAGTGCAAGAGGCAGGAGAGCAGCATCACTGCGATCCATCCAGCTACCTCAGCCAGATGGTAATCAAATCTGCTGTCAATGTCAGCCAATTTTTCCCATGGCATCTTGAAAGTTGTGGCAGTAGCAGACCTGAAAGTCTGTTAGGGAAGGCGGTGACTTTGTATTCATTCTGGCAAGACAGGAGCATCTTGGTAATTGTAACAATGATAGTAGGGTGTGTACCATGTTTAAATGACAGACTAGGGCCAGTGGGTACGCCTGAAGTCACCACAGCAGCCAGTGGGCTTCAGCCATGTGGGAGAACCCTTAGTTTGATGCGTGTAAGAGAGCTGAATGATCCTATTATAAGAAAGAAAGGTATTTCTTGCTTGACAAAAACCATGGCAAACCAGGAGAGGTGTTGGAGACGAAGTAAGCTAGGATGCAGAAGCCACTGAATCTGCAGGCGGTGGGAGCCAATCTCTGCAGAGATTATGGAGAATAAAACATTCAAAAAGGTGTCAGCTTTAAAGCATGGAAACTGGAACTGAAGTGGGAGTGGATCTAGAAACTCATTGATCTCCCACAGGAATCCTGTAGCACTTGGGTGACTTGAACAGGGGGACTTCCCACTGTATATTCCATGAGAGAGAACCACAGATCGTTGTGGTCTTCCTCCCTGCTGTTTTTAGTATTGTGAACTTTTCATAACCTTTTGTCAAGAGTTTTCTGAATGTATGCATCGTACAGAAATATACACGCCCAATAAAGTGGTAAGTCCTCTATGATCCCATCAGTAGCCTGTGGAGTTCCCTTGCTGAAGCAGTAGCTGTACCTGTTTTCTTGATCGAGCCCTACCCATCCTGTACTGGAGTTTCACAGTGCCACACAGCAGGGTGGGACTACAAAAGTAATACCCATTTTAGCCTAGCTCCTCCCAGCTTTTTAGTCAGAAAAGTCAGTAACATTGCATCCTGCTTGGCCTAAAGATGCTATTGCATGGGTGACACTTAACCAGAAAAGCAGGAGGAGCTGTCTCTGTTAGGGTGGTCTTTTAATTAACAAACGTCCTGATTTGCAGGTATCCTTTTTCGAGTTGCTAGATTTTATTTAGGTGTAGAATGATGGCTTTTTTTAAGGGAACAGGCTGTGGCTCGGTGATAGAGCATTTGCTTTTCTATGCAGAAGACCTCATGCTCAGTCCCGGGCATCTTCCACTAAAATATATTTGTGGAAATGCCCTTCTCTGTCTGAGACCCAGGAAAGCCACTGCTAGTTTGAACAGACAGCTCTGAGTTAGGTGAGCCAGTTCTCTGACTCAATGTAAGACTGCTTCTGACTGTATAAGGCATGCTGGCAGTTCCTTAGAAGTTACCAAGGTTGAGAAGATAGATTCAGGTGGGGAGCCATGTTGGTCTGAAGCAGCAGAAGAAAGTTTGAGTCCAGTGGCATCTTTAAGGCCAACAAAGTTTAATTCTTGGTGTAAGCTTTTGTGTGCTGAGGAAGTGTGCTTGCACACAAAAGCTTATACCATGAATAAAACTTTGTTGGTCTTAAAAGTACCACTGGACTCAAACTTTGTTTAAGGCTGAAAAGATCAGTGATGGCAGAGAACGTTTCCTGAAAGATAGCCTGCCCACCACTGACAATGCTTTTCCCCATTTAGTTTTGGATACTTTCTGAGGCGAGGAGGCAAGACTCAGGGCAGGCCTTGAACGTGCTCCCAGAATCCTCTGCAGTGCACGTGGGTTCTGTGGCTATTGTGCAGAGTCTCTCAGCGGACGAGCTAGTATAGAAAAGATTCAATCTCTAATGTTTATGAGAGAGGAGCATATCCTTTTTGTTTGTACCACGACTGAAAACTCTCCTCTTTATCCATCTGACTCTGTCCTCAACCTTGCAGGAGAATCGCAGTCTTACCATCAAGCTGAGGAAACGAAAGCCGGCCAAGAAGGTGGAGTGGTCAAGTGACACGGTGGACAATGAGCATTTGGGACGCCGATCTTCCAAATGTAAGCAGCACGCTCATGTGTGCCCCGTTATGTAAGCCTCCATCTTCTGTGTTGAACGGTTAAATGACCCACAGGCATGTGTTACATACACCTTTTGATCCCAGTGGTTAACAGCTCACTCTACCCAGGTTCCTTCTGACACTCTGGGTGGGAAAGTGCACATTTACTGAATCCAAAGGAATTGTGGCGACTGGATAATGTCGCTATCTGGATCGGTTTTAAATTATAAATGTACTGATTATATCTTAAAATGTCTTTCACACTGGTTGTAAATCGCCCAGAACCTGCTTGCGGGGTGGGTGATTCATAAATTTAATGAAATAATAAATAAATAATAGGAGCATAGGAAAGCTAGATTTTATATCACATGAGGACCAGTTGTGGAGGTCCAAGGTTCGTCACTTGTTGGTTTGGCGAATAGAGATGACTGGACTTAGGATAGCTGACGAAAAGTGGGATTTCTGGAGTGTATTTCTCAGCTGTTATGTAGAAGCAGCGTCTACTTCATTGGAAGGCCATGGATTGACTCCAAGCCCTCGGGCTATTTTATGCCACCCCCAGCAGCTCTCCTGTCAGTTCTGTTTTTCTCCCAGGCTCATAAACTTGGATGAAGTTTAAGAAACATTTTAGTCCTTGGAGCGAGAGAAACAAAGCCCCTTTGGGAATAAACAGTCATGTTCTTATTTATCCACTCAGTCAAGAAATATGAAATGGTTAACAAATTCTGTGACGTGCATAAATCATGAATGGTGACGTCAAGGCTAATCCAGGAATTTCCCCATAATTCTTGTAAGTTTAAGAAACATTTTAGTCCTTGGAGTTAGAGAAACAAAGCCCCTTTGGGAATAAACAGTCATGTTCTTATTTATCCACTCAGTCAAGAAATATGAATGGTTAACAAATTCTGTGATGTGCATAAATCAAGAATGGTGACGTCAAGGCTAATCCAGGAAATTCCCCATAATTCTTGAAAATAAACTTTTAAAGCTGAGGTCAGTAGTCCTTGGGTTAGATCCAGATAGATTTTTTTTGTCCAATGTTGTGCAATTCTCCTCCTTATTGCAGCCTCTGACCAAAGTGGCTTTTGTCCATGCAGGTCCCATGATCTCCAGCATAGCCTTTTTAGTGGTCAAAGGGGACTCCCTCCTCCCATTTTCACCAGTGGAAGCTTTGTTTGGATCCAGCCCATTCTCTACAGTGCTAACCTACATAATAGAAAACTGGGGATAATCCTTTTACTAATTTTTGAGAACAAAATACAAACGCCGAGTGTGATGTAGTAGTCAGAGTATCAGACTAGGTTCCGGGAGACCCAGGTTTTAATCCCCACTCCACCACAAAAGCTTGCTGGGTGACCTCAGGGACAGGTTTGTTGTGAGGATGAAATGGAGGAGCGGGGAATAATGTAATCCTGTTTGTGTCCCCACTGGGTAGAAAGACAGAGTAGAAATGAAATAGAATACATTTTTTAAAAAGAGTTGGATCGTTCTTGCTCATTGGAGCAGTCAGACTAGGAGATTTACAGCAGCAATGTTTAATACGCTCAGAAGAGAACATAGAGCAAAAAGTCAATAAAATATATATCGATATTCCTTCGGGATATGACCCATTTTTAAATCCTGTTCATTGTGTGTATGGGGGTACCTTCTCCATCCTGACTTGCATCATAAACCAATATCTAATTAACTAAGACATATCACTTATTAGAATGCAATGTTGGTACCTTCTATAACTCTCTGGAAGCTTACAGTCCAAATTGGATAATGTCCAGTCATTTGTGTCACCTCATTTCAGTAAGTTAGCTAGCTTCACTCCCTTTCATTTCATGAATCAAATACATGATGAACAATACTATCATGGGTTGGAAAGTCCCTCTTATCCAGTTCAAGAGCTTCTGATCTTCATACTTGGGAGACAATTCAACCACCTCTTGGCAGTTTCCTCTATTTGTTGTACAGCCCCGCCTCAGTCAAGAGGCTATTGTTTGACTCGTATTGGTTCTGGACTATTTAGAACAGACTGTTCCATGGATCAGCATGAACTGTTGTTCTTCCCCAACTGTGTCAGAGGTGGAGAAGGCAAAATGACAGACAAAAAGCAATCTCCTTCAAACAAAGGCCCAGTATATTTTAAGGCCATTTTATCTATCTATCTGTAATGATTTCATGTTTTGGTGTGTGTGTTTCTTTAAATGTTTAGTGTGACTGCAGTAATGTAAGGAGAGTGATAGAGGGAGATAAGTGTGATGTGATTGGCTGATGGTGTGAGAGTCTGTATGACAGAGGAAGCAGTTGGAGTTTAGCCTGTATGGCTATATGAGCAAAAGAGTTTAGCCTGTGTGGCTGTATGAGCAAGAGAGAAACAAGCCTGTCAGAGTTGAGTTTTGGTGTATGAGAGACTGCGTGTGACGCCAAGCCTTGTCAGTTATATTTTGTTTCTTCAACAACAGTTCAAAAATACCCAGAAACCCATTCTTTTATAAATAAATCATTATTTGTTTAAACTTATCCCAGCAATCAGAACAGTCCTTCCTCAGGGCCACATAGTCCTCTGAAGTGCCCAGACACTGGGTCATTCTACCAAAATAGAGAGATTTGGAATTTTTAATTCCTGGTGGCAACAGAAAATCTACCAAGTTCATGTACACAGAGTGTGTTTTAAAGGAGAAACAGTCTCCCCAATAAGCAGGACCTCACAATCTTTCTGTCTAAATGGCCTTAAAAATGTGAACGTGTGTGTGTCTTAAAAGCAGGGGCTTTTATAGATGCAGTATCTCCACCAAATCTTCATCAACATATGGTTTAATTTGTAAAGAAAACAGTTTCCAAACTGCAGGAAATATTTCACACATTGTTAGGTACAAATTAAACTCGTATGTGACATATGAATTTACATTTAATGATGTGCCGGAACAAATGTGCCACAGCTGGGAAGCACTTGCTGCTGGATGGCATTGGCTTTATTATGGCACCCGTCAATGCATAAAGGCGTCAGCATTTTTTGGCAACATACACTTCTGGCTCTCAGACTACTGTATAGATGATGGAGGGGTCTCCATAAGCACAGAAGTTGCTCGTCCCTGCTCTGGTGTGTCAGATTAGAGAGTGGGGGTTGGGAAGGAAGGTAGCTGTGAGTTGAGATTCCTGGTTTTTGCTTCTAGAGTTTTGCGGATTTCTACAGATCAGGAAAAAAAAGAATCTCTGATGGGAATTTAGACATGGTATGTGGGAAGCTCCTCCCTTCCTCATTCTCATAGTTCCCAGCATCATGCCAGACCGAAGCTGAAGGCTCCCTAGAAAGAAAAAGCCTCCTGTCTCTCCCGTGCTATAACTTACCTGCATAAAAACCCAAGGGCAGAGCCTGGGATGGAGCTGAGATCCTTTGTAGAGAGAAAAGATTGCTTAGGCCCTTCTCAGTCTGTTTCCTGCTGGTAACTGGCATCTGTTCAAGGTATCTTGGGCACTCAGCAATTCTGGCTAAAAGCTAGAAGAGAGCACATCAAACGATAGTTGTAATGGGATAGGGAGGGGGAGAGAGTGGCTGTTTGAGCTTTAGCTGAATTGATGGAAGAAGGGAATGGTGGCAAGAGGCACGGCGGGGGGGGGGTGTCAGGAAAGAAAGGGTAACGCCTAGTGTACTTGAGAGTAGGTCAAAGCCTAAAGATCGGTGTTAGCATTAGATGCAGGGAGTGTGCGTTGAAGGGAGATAAATTAGGGGGGGGATCTGTGGGACTTGAAAGCAGGAGGAGAGGGGCCAGAGGACAGGGAGATTAAGGATGGCAGGGGTGGGAGAAGTGAGACAGTGATTTTGTGGCATGGATGGGGCTTGATAAGTAAACCCAGAGGGAGATGGCAGTGAAGGAATGGGAGGGGGCAGGCTTGAGTGAAGAGAGTTGGGGAGCACCTAAAACGGCCTTCCTGGATCTGACCAGATGCATTCCCATCTGCACCAGAAGCCAGGCAGGAAGGAGGGAGAGAGGGCAAACAGGTGTGGGAGTCATTTATCGAGTGGGTGTCCTTTGTCACATTCATGTTTTCCTTCAAGATCTTGTCCTTGGACATTGTCAGGGTTCTGGTTGAGGATTCAGCAATAGGTTGCCTTATCTGAGGTATGTTGGCACCCACTAAGGAATCTGTTCCAAGACCCCCCCCCCAGTGGGGGTCTTATACATACGCTTATACATAGACTCACATTTTCAACGGTTGCTCGCCCGCGTCTATTTTCACTTGATCACCAAGCGCTTGATCCGGCATGCTGATCTAGTTCCTGTGTGGGATGCTCCACGGCGGGACCGTCGGGGCTTGGAGCAGCCTCCCCTTGCCGGCTTTTCTCGCCGGGGGGCCCCCCCTTGGCGGGCTTTTCCCGCCGGGGGGGGGCTCTCTAGCGCCCCATGGCTGGGAGCTCTTCTCACGGGCTCCTGGGGTGGCACAGACAATCGCGCCCCCTCCCAGCCATGGGCGCTGGCAGGCTTCTCCTGGATCGTAGGGAGAAGTCGACTGCCATGGCGATCGCCGAAACCGGAAGTCAGAGAGCTGAGTTTTCAATGAAACTTTCAGAGTTTTCCTCTGAGGCATTGGTGTGGTTTCTGCCCCACCTCCTTCTGATTTATTTTTAAAAAATCTTCACCAAGGTATGGCAGGTTTGAAGGAGGGGTGAAAGGGTCAACCACAAGGGAAGAATCAGGTCAAAAGGACAACAGAAGGCAAGCAGCAGTTGAAAAGCAATGAAAGCCCTGCATGCTCTTCTCGTGAAAATTAGGTATCCTAGTGCAGAAATGCACCTTGGATTTAACAGCTTTACATATCTACAACAGGGACTCCTTATCTTTAAAAGCACGTTCACTCATCTAAATGAGAAGATATTTCATTGGGTGGGTGTTCTAGTACTTCCCAAAAAAGGGCTTGGGAAAAAATGTCCTCCCCATTTTTCCCCTGTTCCTGTTTTTTCCTGGGCATTCCCATGTCTAGATGAACGTGAAGGAAAGGGAGGAGATCAAAGAATGTAAAGCATCTTTGCTATTGCCTAATGGCAACATGATGTGGTGATGGGGCCATAACACGGTGCTGCTCCTGAATGCCAGACCTCGTACACTGCAGAAGATGTGGAGTCTCGTGCCAAACTTGGGTGTATTTGCAGAGCTGACATCATACAGGGAGAGATGTTCTAGAGGGAAAGGCCCACATTTCCCTCTCTTTCTCCCAGAGTGAGGGGAGTCCCATACAAGAGAGGGATACAGGGCTGATGTTCCCCCAGGGATGTGAATGGTTGGCAGATGGTGTGTTCTGAGTTTCTCTCTTTGTCTCTCTTCTCCCTCCCGGTTTACCTTCCTTCGCTGCTTCGTGTTAACCTCTCATCCTGCAATTGCTCTTCCCTCTCCCATGTTTCTGATTTTCTTTTCATCCCACCACTTGTTAAAAACATGCCGACCTCACCCCACCCTTCATCCCTCTGCATCCCTCTGTTCTTCCCTCTCTCCCGCCTTCTCTTCTTCTTTCTTTTCCCTCCCCTCGGTGTCCCCCGCTGTGGCTCTGCCTCCCACTTCTCCCTCCCTGCCGTTCTCTCCCCACCCCTCCGCAGGCTGCTGCATCTATGAGAAGCCGCGGGCTTTTGGCGAGAGCTCGACGGAGAGCGAAGACGAGGACGACGAAGGCTGCGGCAACGCTCACTGTATCCGGGGCCACAAGAAAGGGCAGCGGGGAAAAACGCAGGATAAAGCAGGAGACGCCGGTCCTTCGAAGGGCGGCCCCCAGAAGTCAGAGCCGCCCGACCAAAACCACGCCGGGGCCATGCAGCACTGAGCCCCACCCTGCCACGGCGGGGAGGAGAGCCCCAACTCCGACCCTGACCAGGGACTGATACTGCCCTCTGGGGCAAAAAGGGGGGGGGAGGGAGGGAGGGGGAGGGCAAGGCAGGGCACGTGCATCCAGCCCCCTGCCCATCTGTCCTGTGCCGGTGCTCACGCCACGCCAACTCGGGGAGGGGGAGGGGGGGCACGTGCATTCTGCTCCTTGTCTGTCTCGTGCCAGTGCTGCTGCTGTTGTTGTCTTCTCTGTGGCTGGTGAGTCCGTCTGGTGCTGCCTGTCCCGCCCCACGTGGAATGTATTGACAGAGCCATCCGGGTTCCTTGCCTGAATTTTTTTTTTTGGTCTGCTTCTCAATTAAATACTTGTCTCAGTGATGAACCAGACGGGAAATGGGCGCTGCTTCGGGAAGGGCGGTGACGGAGCCCCCTTTTTGCCAGCGTAGGTGGCACCTTTCCCTTCTTGCCAGTCCCTGTCTCGGAGCCCGTTCCTCCATGCCTCCCGTTTCTGCCAACACACCTCTGCAACACCCAGCTCCCTTCGTGCCTCTCTGTCCTTCCATACACTGCCTTGGCTTCCTCCCTCTCTCCCCCTCTCTCTCTCCCCCCCCCTCTCTCCGTGCCTCAGCTGTGAAGACCTCTCTGGGTACCAGCCCCACTGCCTCCCCCTGTGTACCTTCACT